GTTCAGGGTTATACAGGGCTGAGGGTGTGGGTGCCAGTTGGGTAAGATTGCAAACTCCGGATTCAGGGTCTGGGGTTAACAGCTTTAGAGCTGTTTTGGGTTCATGATTGGGATTGAAGGAGTTCTAGGGTTGTGTTCAGAAGATTTGCCTGGGTTCCATAGGTTGCCTGACGGTTTAGGGTTTAGGGCTTAGGGAAACATCATCACTTGAAGCCCCCAGTGGTAGGAAGAATGCTTGCAACAACCTCAAAACCCTAAACCCTTATTAAACCCTTAACTCTACAACCCCCGGCCGCTTTGAAAATTAAACCTGCCAAGAGACCAAATACTTTAACTCTAGACCCAGGTCTCTGCGCACGCCGCATGCAGCCACAGCATTGAAGATTTCCTGGCAGAAGGACTATGGTTAGGGCTTAGGGTTTAGGGAGGGCTTCGGAGAAAAGGTGGGGCACGGCAAAGCGCTCAAGGCTCTGTCCTATACCCCAAACCCCAAGCCCTAAACTCCTTTAAAACAAAAGCATGCAGGACAGTCCTCAGTCTTGCCGTCGACGCAGAGGCACCACTGGTTTGCCTAGATAGCAGGGTTTAGGTATTATTGTTATTATTGTGATCATAATGAAATGGATGGTATTAAATCTAGGTGATGTAGGATCTCGGGTATTCAAAGGGCTTGTTAGGAAGGGCCACTGCTGAAGACTGTTCAGGACATCGGGAGACTGTAAGACTGCTTTGGGTTTTAGGGTTGACTGTCATTCAGGCTTTACCAGGGAGACTTATGGTTCCTAGGTCGAGGTTTGGATTCGCTTGACATTGATTCATAGTCCTGCAACATTATATATGTATATATATATATATATGTATTCGGATATCTTGGGGGTCTTAGAGCTCAGAGCCTTGAGGAAGAAACACAGTGTTGTTTCTGTACATATGTGGCTCGGGTACAGAATACTCCGATTTCTATTTTCGCATACAGTGAACCCTCAAAGCCAAAGGTATCATGTCCTAGCATGTCAACATCCTGATATGTAAACTCCTGAGGGGAATCAACACACCTGTGCAAGCACACTTTAACTAGACAAATCTCATAATTGCCCAAGCCTGTCTCATGGAAGGCAGAAGACACACTTGGCTGAGTCGTGCAAGACGACAGACACGTGCTGGGCTTGGCAATCTGAACATCAATAGCTCGGGTTCGGCATTTCAGGATTCGGGTTTGGAGAACCGGCACTTGTGCTGCACGTACATTGGCAAACTTTGTCGGGGAGCTGTGGGTGCATTTCCTTTCAATCCCAATCCAGGTTTGCATCTGCCGCGCCGTGCCTCCCACTTTCCAGCAGCAGCTAGGCAGCAGCAGTTCGGCCATAGTTTGATAAGCAGTACAGTAGAACTTGCAATAGTGCAAGTACCAGTGGGAAGTCATCGTAGTAGTCGAAGCAGACACTACTATCACTACTAGTAGTGGCAGGAGTACATTCACTGGTAGTGGTAGAATGAGCATGTACTCCGGTACTTCATGAAGTGTAGGTGTTGTGGTTATTGCAGGAGTCGTACTTCTTCTAATAGTATATTTAATATGCTAGTACTTGTCCTGATCCGAACAAGACTACAAGCTCTAGTACTCATACCCGAAGTTCTGTTAGTAGTTGTGGTGGTACGAATCAGACCGCAGTAGCAGTTAAATATCATAATGAAATAGTGTTTGTATACACTATGTTGGGCAAGCCGATCATAAGATGCACTGAGTATCTCTGTTTGGCTGTTTCTTCCGGTGCCCGATCCGACAACATCAGAGTCAGGCCTCAGATCCCGAAGCTCCCAAGGCCAGGCAGTCACCTCTAACGATTCGGGGATCTAGGCCTAGATCCCCGAATCGCTTCGGACCCGATTGAACATCCCGAAGTGCTAGAGGCCAGGCAGTCACCTCTAACACTTCGGGATGTTCAATCTGGTCCGAAGCGATTCGGGGATCTAGGCCTAGATCCCCGAATCGTTAGAGGTGACTGCCTGGCCTTGGGAGCTTCGGGATCTGAGGCCTGACTCTGATGTCGTCACCGGCCGGCCAGCCAACCCCGAAAGTAGTTCCTGACCCAACTGTAAGCCCCTTGCCCATCTACCCAGCCAAGGCAATGTTCGGTGGCATGATGCAGATGCTGACAGACTTCACACCGCCGCATCTGATTGGAACAAAAGCTCCGATAGCCTCCTTCTGTGATCGCCTTTGTGTTCAGGACACACCTGCTCTGAATCCTAACACATTTGTCAGCAAAGTTCGGGAGAAGAGCAAGTGGGACTGCCAAAAGCGCAAAGTAAAGAGATGGATAGCACACTGGAGGCATAACTCCGACGAAGTTTTGAATGATACTCTGTTGGATGAAGCAATGTGCGGGTTGACCCCCAGGCAGCAACGAACAAAATTCTTTTCTACTTATCGAAGTAGGGGTTTTTCTTGGAAGTACATTGCAGCTTTGCGGAAGCAACATCCCCTTGCTGTTGCTCGAGAGGAAGCTCGGCAAGAGAAGCAACGTGCAGCCAAAGATTTAACTTTTTTTAGAAAAGCCAAGAGACTGCAGCGCATGAAGGAGAAGCTTGCAGGTGTTGCAAGTCGGAATTCAAAGTAGAGCCCAGCACTGTAATTCTTAATTCGAGCACCCGCAGTCCTGCAGTCCTGCAGTGGTGCAGCTCGGTGTGGATAGGCAGAAAAGGAGGTGTCGAGTCTGCCTGCTACATCTAGATACTGCTGTTCCATGGCAACAGAGACTCCGAAGATACTTTATGTCATCGGGTAGCATTATGCCCAAGCTTAGAGTCAGGCGGCCCAAAAACAAGCCCGCCAAGAAGCAGCGGGTGGTTGAGCAAGATGTTCCCACTGATTTTGATCCCTGGAATGCACCTCCTGCTGAGCAATCCGAGGATCCCTGGAAATATGTGGTAGAAGAGGACAACTCATGGGATGAGGTTGAGAAGTGTTCCAGTCCTCAGTCCTCAGTCCAGCAAGGGAAAGACCCTGAGGACAACCCATGGGATGAGGTTGGGGAGTGTTCCAGTCCTCAGTCCTCAGTCCAGTGCAGGAAACGACATGAGGACAACCCATGGGATGGAATTGGGGAGTCTTGCAGTCCTCAGTCCTCAGTCCAGCGTGCGAAAAGACATGTGTCGTTAGATGCAGGCAGTCGCTTACTGGCAGAGTCCACCTTGAAGGCCCATTCGAACTCTTATGAGATTTCTGCAATGGACCCAGACAAGATTCGATTACGATGGGCCCAGAAATGTCCCCGAAGCAACTGTCAACTTGATGGTTGTGCACCCCGGGCGCTGCGTTTGAAGTCTCTCCAAGACTTGTGCCAGAGCTTCTGGAGTATCACTACAGAGGAAAGGATTCATCTACTTCAGGTCATTTATGGTGATGGGACTGGCAAGGGCACCGAGTACTACATTGGATCCTCACGGGTTTGCTTCTGTAATTTTTGCAAGAAGCTAGCATGCAGCCCGAGCACAATGAGAAAATTCATAGCTGGACAGCCGGACATGCGAAAGAAGGGTGTGGCTGGTGGGTCCAAGTGGGGCAGTCAACAGCGGGAGGCCACAGCAACATTGAAGTGTGATCACTTCTTCCGGGAGCTGCACCAGTCCGTAGCAGAATGTATGCCGGAAGATGATGAAGCTGCAGTGGATGATCCGTGGGATCAGGACTCCTGTTGAAAGTAATTCTTGTGAGTAATGCTTGCATATGTAGGAGTGCTTGTTGCTTTGTTTCAGATTCACGGCAGGACACTCTCTACGGGCACGTGTCCACACCCCTCACAGTCTCCAGTCTTGCAGTCTATGGTGGCCTGCAGCGGCGCTACATTCAGAAATGTCAGATTTCTGATTTGTACTGGCAGTTTCAAGCTGAATGGTCTGCCCTCACTGAGCTGCATGCACACTATGGGGCAGAGATGCCCAGCTATGATACCTTTCGACGCAGGTGGAATTCTCACTGGAGCAACATGATTCGCATGCGTGAAAAGAGTCAGCACAAGCAGTGCCAGCGATGCCTTGACCTGCAGATGATGCTACGTAGCCCCAAAGTGTCATGGAGTCGAAAGCTGGAGGTTGCAAAATTGTTGCGGCAGCATCAAAAGGACCAGTACCAAGATCGTTTGCTGTATTGGTCTCTGAGATGGGCTTCGACTGTCCAAGCACAGTCTTGCAGTCCTCAGTCCAAGCAGCAGTCCAAGCAGCCCTTGCAGTCAGGAACAGTTCTCACTGTTATGATCGATGACATGGATCACAGCAAGTTTGCATGGCCACGGTGGCAAACAGCCACATGAGATGGATGGATTGATACGACCAACAGTCACATTCACAGGTGCATATGCACATGGATGGGGCACCTTCCTGTATATGGCCGGGCCACAAGTTGTTGGGGGATCGGACTATTTTTTGGAGGTCCTGTGTCAGACTTTGGAGCAGGTATGGCAGTCTTGCAGTCCTCAGTCTTGGCCATCTCATTTGGTGCTAGTTGCTGACAACACCACAAAGTCGGCAAAGAACCAGTATGTGCTGCGATTTCTGTCTTACCTGGTGGGCCGCAAAATTTTCAAATCAGTGACTCTGTTTCAGCTCATGGTTGGCCACACGCACGAAGACTTGGATCAGCTCTTTGCAGTTGTGTATTCATACCTGAAGAAGAAGGCAAGCTGGCAAACTCCGGATGAGATTTTGCAACATATCAAGTCCTGCTACTTGCTGCCAAATAGGACTGCAGTTAGGTACAGCATGTGTGCCAGTGTGCCGGATTGTCCCGAACAGATAGAACCTGATGCAACTGAGGCTTGGAGACCAGTTCTCATGCTCAACGACCAGGACAAATTTCTGCCAGACATGTGACAGCAGTTCGAGATTTCGATTCTTGGCTCCAGCCCATGGGGGTAACTTTGTACAATGCATTGAGGCAAAGAAGTCACAAGCATCCACTTGCACGAGCAGGAAACCTTCCAGAAATTCGTCACTGTTTCACGATGATCACTGGTGATACGATGTGTTTGAAGCACAGGGAGATGATGGAAGAGGGCTTGGATGGGACAGCAGTCTATGTGTGCGTCAAAATGTACTCCCGTGACCTGAACCTGAGCCAGCCCCCGGTCAAGGTTGCGAGCATGGCCCAGATTGCATCAGTATTCCCCGAAATCCCACGTGGTGTTCATGCTGCAGTTGAGCTGTCTGGCGTCCAGATTGACACTTTCACAAAATTGTCAGACCTGGCAGACAAGTATGGCATGACAGAAGCTGCCAAGGCTTTGAGAGGGATTGTTTTTGTGAGGCGCTATGATGTGCATAGTTTGGAGTTTATCAGACTCAGTCAGTTGTTGGGAGTCAGTATCGAATGTCACACACTCTGAATTCATGGCTCAAGTTTTGAGGCAGTCCTGCAGTCCGGCAGTCCGCTTCAACAGTGTCCCCAAGATGCAGAGTGGCTCCGGAGTTGCACGGACATGTCGGCTGGAGATCTTCGGATTGACAGTCATTGGGATCCTCCAGTCTGAACTGTTTTGCCAGGGACTCGTGATCTTCATGTTTTGGAAGTCTTCAGTCTTTCCAAGACACTGGTCAATGCAGCAGAAACACGTGGGCTGAGTGCAGAGAGTTTCGACTACATGAATCCAGGGCAAGGGGACGTCTTGTCAGAGACTGGTTTTCATCAAGCAATTCGGATGGTCATGCGGTTGAAGGAAGCTGGTCTGATGTGTATTGCACCCGATTGTTCCAGCTTTTCTTGGGCATGCACAAGTAAGACCAAGCGCACCAAGAAAAACTTTGCAGGAGACACTGGCAATCCCACTGTCAGGCATGGGAACTTCATGGCTGAGGTGTCGTTCTTCCTGTTTGTCTTGGCAGCAGCACGAGGTGTATATGTTTGTTTGGAGAACCCAGTGGGCTCGACACTGTTCTCATACCTGAAGGCACACATCTTAGCGCTGGATGCAGTCCTCAGTCCTCTGTTCTTCCTTGTTGACCGCTGTGCCTTTGTGACCGAGAGACCTACATATGGCAAAAGGTACAAGTTTCTGTGCTTGCACCCCAGTCATGCAGTCTTCAGTCCTTGCTGGTTCAAAAAAGCTGTGCACAGTCCATGCACCTGCAAAGAGAAGCACCTGCCATTGATGGATGCGAAAAAGGACAAGGGTGCAGCAACACTGGAAATGCAGACCTGAAGGCAAGCGGTCTTTACCCTGCATCACTGGGTGAATCAATTGTACTTGCTTGGTTGATTCGTTTTGCTCCGGATGCAAAACCCAGTCTGCTGGAGAGAAAACATCCTTTGCCAAGCAGTACATCTGGTGTCAGTTCTGCAGTCCTCAGTGCTGCAGTCCTCAGTCCTGCTGCTGATGTTCCTCGGCGGTGGGCAGATTTGACACCTGATCAGATCGGAGCCCTTTTCAATGAAGAAGAACCCGAAGATGATCCCTGGGGAGAGGCTGGAGAGTCTGGAACTTCTGCTCCTTCGAAGAAGCCGGCAGCCCGGACTGCGATGAAAGCCAAGCCCAAAGCCAAGTCCAAATCCAAAGCAAAAGCGCGGAAGTGTGCCATGAAAGCCATGAAGAAGCCCAGTGCAAGATCTTCCTGTGTAGCAGAGTCTTTGCCCGGTGGACTTTCAGAGGATGATCCATGGGCATGCTGCTGATTTTGTGTTCGGCATCATAGTGTTTGTTTGCGCGTGGAAAAGGACTGGACCCTGGAGTGAGCAATGCACTGTTGCCTGTGTCTGTGTGCTGTGCCTGCATGCAAAGTGCCTTGAAGTTGTCTGCCTCATTGATATGAATTATGATGATTGCATTCTGGCTGAGATTCAGTTAAGGTCAAGCTGTGGTCCAGTCTTGCAGTCTTCTGTCTGAGCTGTCTCACCACAATGTTCGGAGGAGTCATGGCTGCTTCTATCCCGATGCTAGAAGACGATGCTGAAGGTGATGCGACTGACTGGCCCGAGGATGGACAGGGAGACATTCAGATGGAAGAGAATGTCACCCCAGCTGCGCTACCGCACAAGGTGGCTGATCCACTGAGTGGTGAGAAGGTGTCGCCTGTGAAGCCCCGGGTCTTGTTCGGCACAATCACAAGTAGAGAGAAGCTCGCAGCAGACAAGGCAGGTCTAGTTCCCAGTGCTTCTGTGGAGGATCTTACTGCAGGCACAGCAGATGGAGGCAGTCCGATCCAGTTGGTGCAGACCAAAGCACAGAAGAAAGCAGATGCCAAGGCCAAGGCCCAAGCCAAGACCCAAGCCAAGACTGACCCTCTCACCCCTGCCCCAGAGTCCGCAGTCCAGCAGCAGCCACTTCCCAAGAAAAAGGGCTGGCCCAAAGGCAAGGCAAAGGCAAAGTCGGGTGTCATGAAGAAGCCTGCCAGTCTCAAACGGCCTGCTGCTTCGGTTTCCAAAGCAAGCAAGGACGGCACTTTTATTGCACTTAATAGTCTCCCCAGCCTATGAGTGTTGTTGGTTCACTGTTTGCAGGACATCGACCAGGAGATGCACGAGAAGGAGGCAGACACCGCAGCCCTCGAGCCCGTGAAGGACCAGGACGATGACAAGAAGGATGGCAACCAGGATGACAAGCAGGCCAGAAGGGTGAGGAGGATGACAAGCAGGACCCCAAGGATTCCCAGGGCAGTCCGGCCAAGTCAGCAGTCCTCAGTCCTCAGTCCGAGATCAGCCCGACCAAGTCAGACCGAGATGCACTGGAGATTGTGCTCCACAAGAATGCGAACGTGGAGTGGCCAGACAAGGTGACTTTTGCTGGTCGACACAGGAACAAGAACAAGGATGCAGCCAAGCTGTGGGATTTGCACAGAGAGATGTTCTACAGGTACGTTCCCCAGCACCATTGGACTGAGAAGAATGAGCGCCTGTTCTACAGTATTGCAGATGCGGACATGACCACAGTCCAGATCATCCAAGCCTTCAAGAGGCAGGTTGAGGGCTGAATGTGTTTTGCAGTCCTCAGTCCTCAGTCCTAAGTGGCTGTTGGAACATCTGGGGAAGAGTTTTGATTTTGGGGCATTTCGTGTCGACAACCTTGTTGCAGTCCTCAGTCCTCAGTCTGATGTGGCTGGGTGGAACATCCAGATGCTACTGTCACAATTTTGAGGGGGTTCGGAAGAAGCACTGGCCTGAATCCTTGCATTATGTGGCTAGATACTGTCCTTGATCTGAATGATGAGGAATTGTAGCAGTGACTGCTCTCTGCTTTTTGAACACATTGGTCTTGTGTAGCCAAGTTCAGGAATCAGCTGTCAGTGATCTTCCGAGAGTGTGCACAGTGCATGCCAGAGGACCGATCTATTGAATCTATTGTGAAGATGAGGCTGTAATGGAGTCTTTGCATACTGTGTGGTTTCAACTGTCCCTTGCACTTGAAGAGTTTCAAATAGTTAAAGAATGTCGACTCCACTCAGCAGTTGAACCGGACTGGTGTAATATCTGTTTCAGCCGAGGCCTCAACTGGCTCCGGGGATTGAGGTGGACACAGAAGTAATCCAGACGCCCGTGCCCATGTTGTGGAAGCAAGGATCGATAGTCAGTGAAGCCCGACCAAAAAATGCGTTTGTGAGTGTTATGTATGAAGTCACTGCAGTGACTGTGTTATGCTTCCTTGTCGATGCAAGCTCCTCTCTCATGTTGTGTGTGTGTGGCCCTTGGCTAATGAAGATTTTGGAGGACAAGCACCTGCAGTCCTGCAGTCCTGCTGTCTTTTTAGCCATGGACCCCGAACCTGTAGCGAATCAGCAACAACTTTACACCTTGTATGGTGAGGCTATGGCTGTCCTCAAAGCAGAGCTGGATGTGAAGAATGCAGATGGTCAGCCACAATTCACAGATGTTTGTGAATGGTTGGGTCAGAAGCTAGGCTCCGATGGGGAGAGGTCGGCTCACCAGGCAAATCTGGAGCAGCTCTTGGCTAGCTGTGAAGCAGTGGCTGGAGCTGGGGTGACCTCCTTCCAGTCCTCAGTCACCAGTCCTGCAGACCTCCAGGAGGGCAGTAGCAAGACGTTGAAGCGGTTCCCTTTGCGACTGTGGCAGCTTGGTGGTCATGAAGCCTCGCATGTCAAGGGGGCCCCACAACTCCATGGAGTGCGGGACTGCATACAGAAGTTCATGACAGGGATGGGGTGTGAGACACACAAGTTCCCGCTGGAGATTCTGTTTGATTGGCCAACTGCGTGGAAATCGTCTGGCGCTTCTCCGGGGTCATTGATCCAGGCCTTCAGTGTCGCAGTCAGCATTGGGACGACTGTTACCATGGCATGCCATCTTCTCGCCTATGCTGCGATGAAGCTTGATTGGATGAACAGTCCAACAGTCCTGGACCATGTCAAGAAGGATGTGGCGGGCCGATTGATGAGCTGTCTCTGCAACTGGGACATGATGGACACATGTGAGAAAACATTTAATTTCCAGTTTGAGTTCCTGTTTCAACCTGCTTGAATGAGATGTGGACTGCAGGTATCTTCGGCACCTGCAGTCCTCAGTCCTCAGTCGAGCAGCAGTCCATGGAGAGTTTGCCCATTAAGACGGATGCAAGTGCAAGAAGCAGGCCCTCGATCATTAACATGCACTTCCTGTCTGGGTCTAAGTCACCAGATATATGCACAAGTGTGAATGACTGCTCTTGTGGTAAGTGTGTGTGTGTGTGTGTGTGGTGCTCTTTGTGACAATGCTGTTGTTCCTTGTGGACCTTAAGGTTCGACAAGATTGTGGCAGCGAAGGTGGCAGCAGGATCCCGCAAACTTCGGAAGGACATGATGACAGAGGCGATCAACCGACACAACAAGAGCACTGTTTCGAAGTCCCGCATAAACCCCGATGAGATTGCTGCCATTCAAGTTTATGGTTTGGCACCAGCAAATGTTCGTCGGATGCTCAAGTTGGTGTGGGGTACAGAAGCGCCGCATCGCACTGCTGTTCCCTTGTCGTGCATTGCACAGCCGTTTCCTGGTCTAAGCGCAGGCTAAGTCGCCACGGGGGTGGCAACCCGAACTGGGGTTCAGCTGAGGTTCGAGTATTTGGTATGATTTTGGTTGAGGGTTCCAAAATTTGCTGTTTTGCAGGCGTCCGCACTCGTGTCGTTGATTTTCGTCGCGAATAGCCATGGTTTTGGAGCCCGCCAGACTAGGATCGTTATTTGTCGCTCAAACAATGACAACGTTTTTAGGGTTCGCAAAACAAACAGAAGTGACGTGTGAGCCGGAATCGCAGATTTAGGTACCAAACTGCCCTCCGAAGGCATCGGGCCCGAATCAAGTCCTTTTGTGAGTTTCGTCACAGACATTGGCAGCGTTGCCCGTCATATACTTAGTTTCGGCTCCTGCGAAACAGCAATGGAGCCGGAAGTTTTGAATTTCGAGGCAAGTGCGTCCTCTTAGAGGAAGCAGCCTCCGAACCATCACCCCCTGCGGGAAAAGGTCCGCCGTGGGGACCACATCCTGCTTGTTTCGTTAGAGAAAAGGCCATTTCGTGACCCGCGTCGCCCTGATCAGGTGAGATTTTTGGGCGGTTTTGTTTTGGAGACTGTTGAAGAGCTCGAAGCCAACGTGTTGCAGAAAGACTTCGCACGGATGGTGGCCGAGTGGCAACAGTTCGTATCTTCGAGCATGCACAGGAAGGATACTGCACAAAGCAAAGACGTTGAAACAAAAAACTTCTGTAAGTGGTCCGTGAGCAGAAGTTTTTTTGCTACGGAAGAAAATCTTCTAGGCAAAGCCAGCCTCACTGGTGGACAGATGCAGAGGGTGACTACCTTGACATCGTCATCTTTGATTGATGCGGTTTCAGGATGGTTTTACGATCATCTTGCAGCCGCAGGAGAGCAGATCCGGTACCGGGAGTTTGCGACAAGACACAAACCAAAGGCACATAGAGTTCTCATTGTTCCAGCAGCAGTAGGTCAGGAAGCTTTGGAGTTTCGCGGGAGGCATGCCCGAAGTTTGATCAGTCCTAAATGCTTGACGTCGGCGCTCGGCATCGTGGTGGATTCTGTGAGGGCAGCTCCTGAGCCTGAGCGTGTTGCTGTTGCTGCAGGCAACAGCAACACAGGAGTTTCCCAGCGAGAGGATGTTCCCGTGGACTTGCATTTGTTCTATGCATGTGTAGCACATCATATTCAAAACTTGCAAGACATCCCCGACATCATGCAGATGGTGGGCACCATGCTGTTGCCCTCCATGGGCTTGGAGCCGGCGAACGTGCCAGTTCCGAAATCCAGAAGGACTTTTGCAAGGGACATCATCAAATTGGATTTGATTCACACATTGAGTAATCGGATCTTCAACAAAGCCGGGGATCCACGGTGGCGGCGTGCCCGCTACCTGGGCAGCGACTCGTCGCCCCAAGGTGGCTACGATTACTTCGCAGTTACTGAGGACGTTCTGGAAAGGAGTCCCGCCTTGGACTTCCTGTCGGTGCCTGAGGAACAGTTCGATGCTTTTGGAGGTTTCACCTGGCACAGGCGAACGTTGCCCCTCACGACCTTGGCACGTGGGCACGGCTCGGCATCAATGAAATTCTGTCGTCTGCTTCATGTTCTGCACCAGGAACAGGGTGCAGAAAACATAGACATGTATCGGAGTGAAGTCAAAGGCTACTTGAGCGATCAGGGAACGGAGAAGCATCTGTTCGGTTTTCCGTATGAGAAAAATGCAACCCTGAACAGCCTTGCTCGCGGCCTGCTGTCCGGAGACGTGCAGCTGGATGAGGTTTTTTGCACAATGCTTACGGCATTCCCGGAGTAATGCACATTCTTTTCAATGCCCTTGAATCAGCTCTCAAAACTTCCCCGTTGTGGGGCCCGTACGAGACGGAGCTGAGGGCTGTGGGCAGGGTTTTTTCGCAGAAGTCTTATGTAGATCTTGTGCTTCAATTCACACCTGGCCTGTCAGCAGCAGACCAAGAGCTCATACGTGGGCTGGATGTTGCAGTGCTCGATCGGAGATGGGAAAGCATCGAGTATTGTGCAAAGTACTGGAAGCAAGTAGCCCCAATCCTAAAAGAGAAGTGGCATGGCGGGTCTCTGGGAGCGTCCGAAAGGAAACTTGCCCAGGTGATTCGTGCTGCTTTGGGCAGCACGAAGAACCGGGCAATGACCTTGTGGACAAGCGTTCTCTCCGGAGCTGTGGGCCAATGTTCAAGGTGGCTGGAAGGATGTTTTTGCCATGAGCGGGACATATCCTTCAGGCAATCCCGTTCGAGAACGGCAAAGAGGCTGTTGGACCCTCAAACGGGTCCGTCAGCAACGGGGTCCTTGTGTGCGTGGAAAGGAAAGCGTCTGTGTGTGTTCGCCTGGGATGGCCCTCAGAAGTTTTGGACATCATTCGTGAGGTGAGTGTTAGTGATTTGAACAATGAGTTGCTGAAGTTTGACCAAGATCTGGCAAATGAGATTCTGCGGACAGATGGTCTAGTGCGACAGAACTTGGAAGCGGTCCTGCGAGACAAGTTCGCTTGGTGCCAGAAGCTGCCTTTCAAAGTAGCAGGTATCTTTCGTTTGTACGTAGATAAGTCTCTGCCTGAGGTCATAGGGTTCGCAAAGTCGTGTTTCCAGGAATATGCTGCAGCTGCCGAGGCCGGCGTCAGCATAGATCCTATCAGTGTTTTCCTATGCGGGAAACAAAGTGACGAAAGCCGTCAACTATGGCAGTTTGCCCAGCAGGACATCACTGGTGGTCGCACACTGAGGTCGCTGCGACAATTTCCACGGGCGTTCGCGGAAATCCAGGAGCGAGCGTGGTGCCCCATGGCAGAGCGGTTCTTAGAGTCGCAACATCGAGGCATCAAGTGGGCTTTTCGCCGAGGCTTCACTAAGGCGAAGCCTGCCGTAACCTGTGCACGGCTTCGTCGGAATCAGGTCCTGCAAATGGTGACCAGCGACGGTGACCGAAGGTTGCATGTGATGCAGCAATGGGCGAGGAGATCATTGTTTCAGGACCTGTTGTGCCACGTTTTGAGTCCGACCGAAATAGCAGGAATGAGCGAAGCTAAGCGGTTGCCGCGTGTTTACTGCTACAGCTTGGCTGATCATTTCCACGACGTCGAGGCCGCTGAAGCCTTCAAGGCTGCTGCTGCAGCAGCCATCACCAACCAAGCGGCGAGTGGGCCAGTCCTGAAGCCCGGCCACAGGCAGTGGGTGAGTTTTCTGAAGCAGCAGCTCAGCAACGGCACCCTATGTTCCTTCCCCCGAAGTATCTTCGAACTACTTTCAGCAGATGATGAGCCGGAGGAGGAGGACAAGGAAGGTGATGATGCTGAAGATGACGTAGATGATGACCTCCTGTCTGAGGCTCTTGGTGACGAAGAATTCGGACTCCCGGACTTGGTCCCCGGAGGAACAGTTTACTGTCAGGTCATCGATGCCCGACCCGAAAATCGTGCGTCTGTGAAACAGGGTCTCGCTGAGGACAAAGGCAGAAACGGGATGCTGGTGCAGATCTTCTCGGACGTTCGCCCGATCACGAATGTAGACGGTGTTTGCAATCGTGTTGAGGTGTGTGGGTCTGGGTCGTCTGTGACTATGCTGAATCTGTCGCGAGCCTGCACACGTGACCTCGTGTTGTCGATGTTTCAGCAGGTTTGTGTCTGGTCTGCTGAGTCTGCGGGCATGCGGTTAGAGATTCAGAGCGGGCCTGCCGGGCCTGAGGAAGACCTCTTCCCTGCCCTACCAGACATCAATGCAGGCGATGAATTGGTGGATGATGACATGAAGCTGGATGTTTTCGTGCAGCAAGTAGTAGAGAACTCCTTGGTAGCACAGGCAGACATTTTGTCAGAGAGGCAGGCAGGCAAGGGGTTGTCAGTGGGCAGTGCCGCCGTTTCTCTCTCCCAAGAGGAGCGGCAGGTGGCGGATGCCCTCGTGAATGCCGGCGCTCTAGGTTCGAGCGAGATTTCCTTGATGAGGCTCTCAGCAGAGCACAACGTGGCGATGAGCCACGTGCTGCGCCTCTGCGAAAGGGGCTTGCTTGCGGTCCGCTTTGACGACTTCGGGGATGCCCAGGTCGCCTTGGTGGCTCCGTTTTTGCTGCAGCCCAAAACCTTCTGGGTCGACCCCCTGCCTTTGAGCCATGCAAGAGTGGAGCTCCTCAACAGGTCCCGAAAGAAGGGTACCACCAAACTTGAGTTTGTGAGGGCTCTTGTGCGAAGTGGATGGCACTGGCTCAATCCTGGGCAGGACACCCCTGAGCAGATTTCATCTGATGATGTTCCCGGGTGTTTGCCGAAGAATGTGTTGACTCTTACCGAGTCGCATCTGAAGGCTTTGTTCCTAGCACCATGGATTTTTCAGAAGCCGGGGAAGTTGCCACGAATGTTTCACGAGCAGAAGCAGGCGTACTATGAGTATTTGCTGGCTGCTGCGGATTTGAGTAGCATCGCTCACATGTCGCAGAGCGACATCACAGCCTTTTTCAGCAAGGACAAAGCAGCCGGACGGCGAGTCCGGGGTCTTGCTCAGAGGCTGCGGGACGAATCTGATGTGAGTGGTGATGAAGGTGAGCAGAGGCCTGTTTTAGAGGACCTTAAAGCCTTTGTAACGTCGGAGGCCATTGAGGCCAACGAGCCTTCGGCTTTGCATCCCGACCTTCGCCAGGCCCCTGTGCAATCCAGAGTTCCGGGCCTTGACTGTAAAATTTACTTTGACAACTTCAGCCATGAGTCGGGCAAGTTGCGGGCCTTCTGCCAGTGCCCGTATCACCGTGACAAGAGATGCAGGTTGTACTTGTTTGTGGAGCATTTGGGCCGCTCAGAGACGGTGGCGAAGCTGCTGGCTTGGGCGAGCATGGAAGCAGCCTCTGTAGAGGAACATCTCAGGTTGCGGCCGACACAGGCCCAGATTGATTGCATGCTGCACTTGCAGAGCATCTAAAACCGGACTGCGTGGTGACCAGAGTTGTGGCACTTGTTGAACACGGGTTAGGACAAGGAAAGCGAGAGTGATGCCGATGCGTTTGTGCTGGTCTTTGGCAGCCAGTTTTGGTCGTCCAGTATCCATCTCCTTGTTTGCGTTGTCTTAGACAACGGACATGCCCAGAGAAAGAAGCCGGTCGCCACGGCCAGCAGCGGAATGGAGATGGTGCTGGATGAAAACAAAAAGCCTGCACTCCGGAGAGTGGCCTCTTGCAAACACACCGTAAACCCTGAACCCTGCGTGTAGAAATAAATACCTCGTGCGTGATGCCTGTGCCCAGGATATGGTGGTGGCAGTGGTGGCGGCAGTACATTAGCCGGCCCCTGACAGCATCAACGTCATCTGAGGAAGCACCCAGCAGCTAACCAAGCCGGGGAGCAAGCGACGGTTAGAAGAAGAAGATCTCGACTGAGTGCTTTTGGGCTCAACTGAATTGTGCCTCCTGTGCGGTTAACCGAATGGCTTGTTTTCACGTCGGGAGGCGGAATTGTCCTTTTGGGGGACCGCAAGTCATGCAAGAGCTTAGTTAGAGCTTTCGGCTGCAACACCACATGTTGTTTCTGCGAACTTTGTGAAATATGGAACATACATGCAGACACATATGTTAGCACAAGTCAGAAGCATGTGAGTGTGCGGTCAACACAAGACGAGATGAGCGACACCTGCGGAACATTAAAAAAAACCGTTGCGTAGTGACAGGGTTGTTGCTTGCGATAGGACAGTCAAAGCGAAAGGGATGCCAGACCCTTTTTGTTTGTATTTCGCAGCCGTCAGCATGTTAGCGATTTCAGTTGATGGATGCTGCGGTGTTGCAGCAGTTTTCGCTTTGAGTGTTTTGCTATGTTTCGCTTGGAAAGAGAACTCAAAGTTGAGACGGCTGCTGGCCAACGGCCAGCAGCACACTCAGCCTTGCAGCGAAAATGAGGATGATTCCGAGTGGGTGAGCGTGCGAACTGGGGCAGATAGGGTCGAGCAGCTGCGACATCGAGATTGGGCGGCTGAGAGTCGCCGATTGCATCTGGAGGTCGAACGGCTGCAAAGGGAGCTTGTGCGTGCTCGGGAAAGGGCACAACTGCCGCATGAAGTGTTCTGCACCACGTCTGGACGTGGAAAGTGCTTCCACCATCCAGAGTGCAGACATGTGCAAGGTCCCAGGAATCGCTTAACTCCATGTGAGCAGTGCCGGCGACGGTTCGGATGAGGGGGAGAGTCAATATAGCTTTTTGCTGCGGATGCTTTTGGTTCCTGCTCTTGGACCGTGTGGCTCATTGCAAAAAGGGTTTTCTTTTTGGGAACTTTGTGCATTAGGCATGTGTCGCATGTTGAGAGTGACTGTGTGCAGGGGTTTCAATAGCTGATAGCCAGAGCTTTTGCGGCCCGAGCCAGTGTGGGCTCCGGTTGGCCCCCGGCAACCTGGGAAACTCCTCGAGGACATCTTAAAAAAAAGCGGTAACTTTTTCAAGCCAAGCATCTGTGGCCAGGATTTTCATGCCGCCACCTGGCCGGCCTGACGGCCGCCAAAGCTCAAGCCGCTCAGGCATTGGTCCGGGAACAAGCCAACAGCAGCAACATAAATATTATCATCGTGGAACGGTCTGCTTTTTTTTTTTGCAAGGGTGCCGTGCAGTCCTGGATCAGCAGCCAGGCACAGGGCCTCTGGATAGCGTTGCAGTCCTCTGGGATCCTGCAAGTTAGCTCCAGGGTGCTCGGTTGCCTTGGCTGGCTGCCAGGATCCTGCCGGTCCTGTTGCACATCACAATCATTTTCATCACCGTCGCCCTCGACCCATCATTGCCGTTTGTGTTGTGTACCGTGTTTGGTGTGTAAGGTTTCCCATCTACTTTTCCCACATGTGCCCTGCAGGTTCAAGCGACTCTTCCGACTCCGACGCTCGGAGCAAACGGATGGGCAGGGACGGCGGCAGGGATCGGACGATTCGGGATCGAAGCCGCTCCCCGAGCAAAGCTTCGGAGGTCCCGTCCCAGGCTAAGACTGATCCGACCCACGGTCCTCACAGGCCACCAGGAAGGTGGGACAAGGACACCGAGATGAGCAGGGGCAGCAGGGGCAACAAAAAGAGCGGCCCGTGGTGATAGAAAGCCGGCAGAGCCGGCAGGTCGGCCGAAGAAGCCGGAGAAGTAGGAAGGGGAGGAGGACCAGTCGGGCTGGTACCAAAGGGTAAAATGCCCAATTTGCAAGAAAGCCTGCTCCAAATGGGGCCTCCTCCCCCACATGCACAACTCCTTGACTTGCAAGGAGATGCAAGGCAAGCTTCCGGGGGCCCAGCTTTCAAGGTGCTTGGCGTATGCAAAGAACTTGCAACAAGAAGCAAACCAGAAAGCTGATGAAGCCGCCGGCTGCCTTGCCGAGCTCCAGCTGAGCAGCGAGAGCGGAGAGGGAAGGCGGCATCGTGTTGAAAGAGGGCCCCTCCGCCCCCAAGCCGTACAAATGTGTGGGCTGCGGCCAGACGTTCGGCACGGAGTATGCCTACTGGCAGCATTGGAAGGCCAAGCACGAAGGCAGCCACCTCCCGGGCCCTGAGAAGCCGAGACGTGGGGCCTCTCGAGTGAGCTCACCCGGCCCATCGGCAAGCCAGGCACCGCCACGGCCAGCATCGGCAGCGGGGTCCAGAAGTGCAGTTGCTGATTTGCTGGAGGCGGCCTCCCGATTGGTGAGGGAGAGGGAACTGAGGGAACACCAGGCGTAAATCGCCAAGGCTCAAGCCACAAATTCGAAAGGCCGAGACTCCTGGCAGCACCGCAAACCGCAAATTCGAAAGTCCGAGACTCCTGGCAGCACAGCAAGCCACAAGTTCGAAAGTCCGAGACTACTGGCAGCACAGCAAGCCACAAATTCGAAAGTCCGAGATGGACTCTGAAGGTTCGCGAGCCACCGAAAGGCTTCGCTGCAAACCGTGCCGTGGGTTTCGCAGCAAAAGAGAGTGTTTTGCATTTTGAGATATGATTTTATAATTATATATATATATATATATATATATATTATATTTTGCAGATTTTTTATGATATTTATATGTATTTTGTATATTTTGAATAATTATTTATATTTTGTACTATATATATAATATTTTAGGTTTATTTTATGATATTTATATGTATTTTGTATATTTTGTATAAATATTTATATTTTGTACTATAGATATAATATTTTAATATTATTTGTATATATAATATAGATTTTATATGATTTTAGGATTGATTTCGTGTTTTCGTCGTCCCCCAATGTCGCTCCAATGTCGTTCCAGTGTCGCTCCCGTCGCTCCCGATGCCGATGTCGCTCCCATGTCGCTCCGATGTCGCTCCTGTCGCTCCCGATGTCGCTCCCATGTCGCTCCCATGTCGCTCCCGTCGCTCCCGATGTCGCTCCCATGTCGTTCCCGTGTCGCTCCCGTCGCTCCCGATGTCGCTCCCATGTCGTTCCCGTGTCGCTCCTGTCGCTAAGATTCAATAAGATTTTTCCGGGGCGTGCCACAATTGTACAAATGTTTTCTAAGATTCAATAAGATTTTTTGGGGCGGTGTGGAGTCGTGTCCCTTTTAAAAATGATGAACCAATAAGATTCAATAAGATTTTTTTGGGCGAGCTGGAGGCGGTGTCCCTTCTAAAACCGATAAGATTCAATAAGATTCAATAAGATTTTTTCGGGGTAGGCCACAATTGTACAAATGTCTTCTAAGATTCAATAAGATTCAATAAGATTTTTTGGGGCTGTGTGGAGTCGTGTCCCTTTTAAAAATGATGGACCAATAAGATTCAATAAGATTCAATAAGATTTTTCCGGGGCATGCCACAAGTGTCACAAATGTCTTCTAAGATTTTGCAGGGCCTGTGGGGCGGTATGGGGATGGTGTCCCTTCAAAGGCCATATGTTTTTTTTTAACACGGATGCACCCCATTGCAGACTTCCGTGGTCCTTTGTTGGGTCCCTCCCAACTGGTGTTCTAGGACAGGTTGGATCCTGCCTTTGGCGCGGATTTGTCCACAGGCATCTGCAGTATCCTTGTGAAATCGACAGACCGCCTGGGATTACAAAGAGACATACATTCCTGATGGCATAATGCAACACAAGGCAACACAATCATGTCAAGACATAATAATCATGGAACACATGTTACAACCCATGGCACTCTGCCTTCAGAAACGTGTCTGTGACAATGGCATTGCCACACCTCCAAAATTAATAAGACTCGAGGCCACATCACCGACAACACATACACATGAGCCAGTAATTGTGGCACTCTGCCTTGTTACCGAGCCACCTTGTCGGCGCAATCAGTCCACCACGGGGTCGTTGACCTCAGGAGCTTCCTCTTCACGAGTGCGGTCGTCAACGAGTTGAGCTTGTATTTCCTGAACGATTGCGTCCACATCATTAGCATCATCTTCGACAGGAACAGGGGCATTGCTTCCCGTGGACCCCCTCGGACCAAAAAAGAACCTTGCCGTAGAGGCCGAGCTCGCACACTTGAGAGGGCAAGCGGTGGCCTTGTTCCGCCCGGTCGACTCACAGTATCGATTGATACATTCGCTGTGAAAGAGGTGGCCACACGATAGCGCTTCCAATGCCTGCATTCCAGGGAAGCAACAGAAAAAGACACGTCATGTGAGAGGTACTGTTCTGAGGATTAGTGGAATGTACAAACAGGACAGGCACCACTATCAATGGTTCATTAACCAAAGGCAAACGAAACCAGCCTGCCTGGCCCGGGTGCATCTCCGAATGGCAAATGACACAGAGGTCCTGGTTCCACCGGTTCGCAGGTCTGCTCGACTCATTCGGAGCATCCTCCTCCTCCTCCTCCTCCTCCTCCTCCTCCTCCTCAAAGAAGAAACTGTCGTCGGCCTCGCCCTCGACCTCGGCCTCGACCTCGGCCCCGGCCTCGACCTCGGCCCCGGCCTCGGCCATGACCTCATCATCGACCTCGACTGCGACCTCGTCCT